GTCTTAGTTATTGCTTATATTATGTTTAGCATATCTCGACTGGGCATTGGCTCACCCTATATGGGACATTATTTTCAGGTACAGGTAGCATGCCACCTCCAAGGACGTAGCTTGAGAGGCTTAGTGGCTGGGACATCTTTTGTGATTACATTCTTGTATTACATGTATATCAAGCCAAGGGTTTATTTTGTATAGAGTTAGTACTATTTCTTTTGTAACCAAGTGTTGACTTGGAAAACTGTAAGCTCGTAGGGCATTTGCTTTTGTTGTTAACATGTAATACATTTGTAAGAAATACTCTGATGAAATGTATTTTTGCTTTATTCGCTTGTCTAAGCAATTCAATATTGTATGCTTTATGGGTTTATTTTGAGGGCATTACATACTGGTTTTGCGTGGGTTGTGTTTGGTTTGAGGAGTTGTTTTGATCGTTGTTGCTTACATAGTGAGATTGAAGTTCTAAGCTAATGTTGTGATTGAAATTATTGGTTCAAAGTTTGGTTTGTGGATTTCATACTACTATTCAACTGCTCTTATTTGTTTTTTTGAATCTTTGGTACTAATGTTGTTGTTTTTTTTTTTTTTTTTGGGGGGGGGGGGGTTGCAATTGGTTCTTGGTTTTTACCTGGTGGGTTGGCTTGGGTTGGGTTTTGGGTTTTATCTATGGTGGTTTTTCCTTGTGTCTGTCAATCATGGTCGAGCCTTCCAAATGCCGCAAAACCATTGTATCCCATCCCAAGTTCAATAAAGACAAATTCCCATCTCAAGAGAAGTCCAACCTATATTGGGAATTTTATGTGTCATGGACTGTTAATTTAGAATGAAATGTCCGTCCTAGTGCTTTCGAGTCTATTCCTATCTGATCTTTGTTTGATGTTTTAGGGGGTGACTAGGTCCTTTATTTCTCTGGTCCTCAAAATCCTAGTTGGGTCCAAGAATTCTATCGCAACATCCATTCCATTAGCAAAATTTCTACTTCATTCCATACTTGGGTTCGCAACAAAGAAATTTTTATTAATCAAAAGGTTATTCACAAGTTTCTTTCTTTTCCCAAAGTTCAGAATTGCCACTATCCCTTTCTTACCTTCAACATTTCAGATTTTGATGCGGTCGTCACTGAATTATGCAGCACTTCCCGAACTTGTATTGCCGGGGCGCTTATTCAGCAAAATGAGCTTCTTCTCCATTACTACCTTCTCAACATCATTGTTTGTAACGCCCTCAAAATAACCCAATATATAAATAACATTAACATGCACTGATAAAAGAAAACCAATCATTATCTTATCCATCAGAGTATTATTATTGAAAAAAACAATACATGTAACATTAAAAGTGAATGCCCTACGGGCTTACATCTTTCCAAGCCAACACTTGGACACAAAAGGATGAGTACTAACTCAATTACAAATTAAGCCCTTGGCTTGAATGTTTACATGTAATATCACATAAAGCAAATAACTGAAGACAAGTCTTCAAAGTTCAAATCCTTCCAAGCTAAGTCCTTGGAGGTAGCAAATCACCTGGACCTGAAAATGATGTTCCCGTATAGGGTGAGCCACAGCCCAGTAGAAATATACTAAACCAAATATAAGCCTTGAATAAAGCAATAGCATTCAATAGATGGTTAACACAACTATCCATTCCATCAACCTACAGTTTCATGACACGTATCACTTTCCATTATTTATTCATCTTTCCATTTATACCAATATGGCTCAGAACCTGGCCAAACTATAACAGTGAACTATATATATCACATTAACATTTCTTTCAATATCAACAAAATAAATGAGACAAAGGCTCATACCAAAACACTTCCATACTTCCCGATTGATACACATTTTAGTGCTGTATCAATAACATGTAAAGAAAACACTTCCATAAATCAATAAGCACACATAATAGTGATGCTAATGGAGTCCATCCCCTATCTCCTCCCAAATAAAATCCGGTTTAGAGGTCCATCCCCTATCTTCCCCTAAATCGTGGAATACATCCCCTATATCCTCCCAAACAAAATGCATATACAATGTATTAAACACTTGCCATATACAACACACAATCAATACACGTATTTTCTGTATTAATTCAACAGTCAAAATTAATGACTTCACTAATGTGATTAGTTTCAGTTTTCCCTAATCCACAAGCAATGTTTACAACAATCACGACTATCCTCCACCGATAGCCCAAAACAGTTATTTCTAAACAGGAAATAAATGTATTAGTAAGCATAAACGCAACATTTTCATAGGTGAGTGATTGAACTATCAAACTACACCATTTAAACTCATAATTCCCCAATTTCAAGAATTAAACTAAATTCCCCAATTTTTCCTAAATTAATTATACAAATTAATTTATTACTACAGCTAGGGTTTTTCCTAAAATTACCAAACAATCCCCAACATATCAAAATACCAAAACTTAGAACAAAACCTATAATATGGAGTAGGAAATCCCTACCTCGAAGTAAATAACCCGAATGGAGAAGATAGAGATGATGACCCAAAATCCAAAGTGCTCCAAACTGCCCAAATCTCAGATTAAAACGAAGCTCTCTACTCACTCTATCTTTTTAATAAAGAGCCTAAGGTAGAAACACCCTAAAACTAGATGATACCTAAGAGAGAAGGTGAGTGGAGGGAGAGAGAAGTCGGACCTAGGGTTTGGAATCAAAAAGATTAATAAAAAACTAAATTTTCCCCGCTGCTGCCTATTTAAACCTGACAGGCTCGCTCGAGCGAAGGATTGGTCGCTCGAGCGACCAGACACAAGAAAGCCTCGCTCGAGCCAAAAACTTGATGCTTCAGGTCTGCAACCCAGAAGCTCGCTCGAGCGACGAAATGCTCGCTCGAGCGAAGAACTTGAAAACATACACCTCGCTCGCTCGAGCGAAGAAACACTGCTCTCAGGGCTATACTAGACACAATGGCTCGCTCGAGCGAAGAACTCCTGGCTCGAGCCACCAGAAACAAAACTCAACTCTCGCTCGAGCGACCAAACCCTGGCTCAAGCGAAGGACCAAAAACAAAAGCTCGCTCGAGCGACCAACTCCTCGCTTGAGCGAAGACCCAAAAATCTGAACAGCAACAGTTGGTTTCCAAACCCAACCAACCTGTAACAAACCTGCCCAACACATCCTATAACTCAAAAATAAGAAATCAAAGGATGACAACAACATTTTGGTAACAACGGGATCTACGGAACATAAGTCCGGATACAACAACCAAAAGGAAAAGACCGGGGTCGCTATATTGTTTGTGCCAACATACATGTCACCACTCATTTCTTCCACATTACCCAAGATCAGGGGTATGTTTTGTATTGCATTGATCATCGCCTTCCCTTCAACCTCTCTATCATGATTGTGGACAAAATGATAGGTGTGTTTGAGGTTTGCCAATCCTTGGGTCTACCTTACGGTTGTTTACTATACCCTTTTTTCTTTCTTTTTTTGGTGTTCCCACCTTTGACGATGACGAGTTTGCCTCTCCCATTAAATCTGTCACCAAACTGACCGTCTCCCAGAGTCAAGCCCATGTCAAGGGAGGGTCGTTCGGGGTTGGGGTTTTTGATACAGGTGATGATCCACTTGCTGAGGAGGCCAAGTTTGATGCAGCCGCTACCGGTGCACCCGAGATACGTCCTCGCTTGTTTCATGGCCAGCTGCAGCAGTTCGAACAGTCTATCACACACCACCTTGATCAGCTGGATGCCCAACTAGATGCATTTGATGGTCGTCTCGATTAGTAGACTGCCATGCTTGCTCAGATCCTCTCTCTTTTACAGATGTAGCAACCGCCTCCATCGTCCTTGCAGTGATGTTCTTCGTATCTTTTGGACAGCTTTCATTTGTGTGTTTTTTTTTGGACAGTGTTGTTTTTGGACAGTTTTTTTTTTTCTTTTGGCATGTCTTTCTATTTCCTTTGTCGCTCCTGGTCAAAAATGGAGTGTATAGTTATTGGGGTATACTAGGTTGGGGTATACTGAGATATTTGGTTGTTCATAGTTCATATTTTGATTGTTTGGGATTTATTAGATATTGAGGATATTATGTTTTGATGTGTTATTTGTTTTTTTCTGTTAATTTTCTTTATCCATGCGGTTAATTATTTTATCTCTTCCCAGTGTTTTGGTTTATATATTTTTGCAGGGAATTTCGTCAAGGCTGCTAATTTAGATGAGTTAGTTGTGTTTTGTTTGATTGTTTGTTGGTCTAGTGCGTCTGTTTTGAAGTGTTATTTGTTTTTTCTATTAATTTGCTTTATCCATGTGGTTAATTATTTTATCTCTTCCCATTGTTTTGGTTTATATATTTTTGCAGGGAATTTCGTCAAGGCTGCTGATTTAGATTAGTCAGTTGTGTTTTGTTTGATTGTTTGTTGGCCTAGTGCATGTGTTTGCTAGGAAATTGTGTTAGAATGTTTTGTCTGGAAATTGACAAAGGGGGAGATTGTTAGGTCCCTTAGTTTTGTCAATCCCACGAACAAACATTGTTTATCAAGTTGTTAGTTTCTTTGGTTTTTGCCTTGCTCGCTCGAGCGAAGGAGTCCTGGCTCGAGTAAAGATGTTGTGCTCCAAAAAGTTTTCTTTGTCTGCAAAAATACTATGAAGGAAGTTTGTGCACTCAGGCGATGGAAGCTTGGCTTGAGCAAAGACACTTTAGTAATACACGCGCAGTTGGTTCATCGCTCAAGCGACCTTCGTGGCTCTGTTTTCTATAAAAGCCTGTTTCAGTCCGTTTTTAGCAGATCTTCTTTTAGGGTTTTAGGGGTTTTTTTTAGAGCAATTTTGCTAGTTTTCTTTGATTTTTGATTGAGTATTAAACTCATGGTTTAACAAGCATACATCAAAGAGTTGTTTGAGTGTTCTACTTCAAAGCTGTTCTTCTTCGGTGGATTTTGGAGACTCAAGCGTGGAGTATTGGCATGAGTTCAAAGCTATGCGTAGTCGTTGATTCGACATGGATGTCGTGGATTCAACATCAATTTGATCAATTCCGAGACAAAGGTTGCAGTGAAAGAGATATAGATTGTTGAAGACAAATTGACAGAGTTTGGGTAATTTGTTTGGTGAATTTGTATTCTTTCTTTCTTTCTTTCTTTCATAGTGGATTGATTAGTGGCATTTTTCCCGTGGTTTTTTTAATCACAATTGGAGGTGTGCTTCAATTGTGGTTTTTCCATGTAAAAATCGTTTAAGTCAATTTATTGATTTTGAAACAACAATCTAAATCACTTTCATATGTGCTAGATGATTTAGATTGTTAGTTTTAATTGTTTGGGAATTAGCACAATTACATCTTGATCTAATCACAAATCACTTAGGTTTTTCAATTGGTATCAGAGCGGGTCACTCTTTGTTTTTATCAAAACTATAGGAGTGTGATTTTGTGTGATTGGTGATATAGATTCAATTCGCGAAGGTAACTCGACCCATAGATCTCCGTTACTTGATGATACAAACTATTTTTATTAGAAAGCTCATATGAGAGCATTTTTAAAATCTATCGATGAGAAAGTTTGGCACTGTGTGATATATGGGTGGAGTGAACCTATTGTCACCATTGATGGTGTTGATATTCCCAAACCCCTTGATAAATGGGACACAACCAATTATCAAAACTCTAGTTGGAACAGTAAGGCTCTCGATTCCCTTTTTTGCTCCGTCACACCTGAAGAGTTTCATCGTATCTGCACGTGTGAGGTAGCAAAAGAGGCTTAGGACATTCTTGAAACGATTCACGAAGGTACTACTTCTATTAAAAGGTCAAAACTTCAACGTCTCACCTCTGCCTTTGAAACCCTTTTTATGCGTGATGATGAGATGTTTAATGATTTTTATGCAAAACTTAGTGACATCGTGAATTTCTGTTTTACACTCGATGAAAAAATCCCTGAAGCTATGGTTGTTGGGAAAATTTTGAGGTCTTTACTCGTGAGGTTTCAATCAAAACCAAGATTCTTGTTATTTATTTTTGTAAGAGAAAGGGTCTGCTATCCTATCTCCTATCTAATATAGGTAATCAGTGGTGGCATCTCTTGCTTATGCTTGCCCTTTTCTTCTTCCTTTGCTTCGCGTCTGCCTATATATTATGAAGTAGGGAAATCAAAACCTAGGTACCCCTCGATTGTAGCGAATCAGTTATGGGAAAACGGCGTGAATTGAACTTGTGCATGGTGGATTTACAATCCACTGTAGGTGATTCGGTTGAAGCAATCGATTTAGCAGTTTATTCAATAGTTCTAGTTGATGCTGATTTAACTATTCATAACTCGTTGATGGCAGCATGGAAGGACCAAAGACAAAGCTTATTGCTATGTTGTAGCTGGTTTTTTGTGCTCCTCGGAGGGGTTTAGTCTCCTCGAGTACGATGACCCTACAGTTCGAACTTCAATGGTTTTGAATCTGATTTTACAAGTGCAATGTGAAACAGAAAAAACACAAATAAGAGTCCAAATCCGACAAATCTTAGAAAATCCATTTATCATCAGAGATGCCAAAAATGGACCGCATTGCCAAATTTCAAAGGCGCCACCTAAATATTTTTGTCTTAGGAGGGCAAGATGCCCACAGCCTTAACCCCACTTCTGGAGAGGTGGTTTCCATAACTCGAACATAGGCCACCAAGGGCGCTAACAGAAAGCCTTACTATTAAGTAAAGCTGCTCTTTCAAAGAGCAATATTTGAACAGGAGCCTCCAAATTTTTGAATAAAATGTAAGTAAACTCAAGATGAAGATTCTTGGCCTTTCTTATTGATGTACTCTTGATGAACCTCTTTTGTACTTAGACCTCAAGATGAAGATTTTTGTAGAATTTTGGAAGAAATATGAAGCACCTACAAAGAGGGATTATTTCTTCCTCAATTTCTTGAGTCAAAAAGGAATACTCCATTTGTAGAGCAATTATAGAATGAACAACATGTGCCCTCCTTATTGTGTTTGGGCTTGCTTCTGATAAGCCAATGTATTTTATTTTACCCTCTTCCACCAATTTCATAAGTTCTCTCATCTGCCATTCAAAAAGAAAATTCAGCACCAATCAGTAAATATTTCCAATGTCACTTAGATTAAGGAAAAGATTCCAATTAATTAGAAATGAGTGGCAAGTAATACAGCGTTGAAGTAACCCATGCCATACTGGAGGATTCATTTAAATAATTGAAAAATAAGTTTTCTCTTTTCTTTTAGTGGAGGAATTTTGATAGATACGGCTCGATAAAAACACCAAAATCATAACAAAAAATACATTGCGTAAGAATTCATAGTTTCTTTTTTTTATTCCAGTAAAGTAGTTTAAAAAAAAAACAAATAAAAAAGAAAAAAGGAATAATAAGAAAAGACACTTTCATGTTGCTTTAATAGCAAGTATTTTTTTTCAAGCAGATATGATGATTTGTTGGAAAAGAAAAAAAAAAAAAAAGCCTGGCTAGATACTGACCTAGCCCGGCAATGGGATAAAAAAGGTCTTTTCGAACAAAATCAAAGAAAAGACGCCTTCTTTATTTTGATTTTTCTTTATATTTATATTGGATCTTTCTGTCCCTTCTTTTATCTACATGGAATTCCTTATAGAAATTGTACCATATGTATATAATAAAGATAAATAGAGAGAAAGAAAGACTTTTTTTAATCCTTACTCTACATGTAATGTAACATAGCAATTATCTTCTTTCTTTCTTTCTTTCTTTTTTTATTTATTAGGAGAGGTGGCTGAGTGGACTAAAGCTACGGATTGCTAATCTGTTGTATGAGTTATTTGTACCGAGGGCTCAAATCCCTCTTTTTCCGTTTCCCTTGATGACTTGATATTTGATTTATCTTTCAAAGCACGAGGGTTGTTTGAATTATATTCTCTACCATATTTCCCACCAGCCTAAGTCACCCTTACCGCCACTCTACAGAACTATACATGAGATTTTCACCTCATACGGCTCCTCATTCAATTCTTTTGAAGTCATTGGATCCTTTTCCTCATTCAAGAATCTGCTTCTTTCTTCCACTCCGTCCCGATAGGACCCATTTAGTCATGTTTTCATGTTCCAATTGAACACTTTCCATTTTTATTTTTGATTCTTCTCGAAGGTTAGCTCCTCATTCTTTCATTCTTTCAACAATAGAAGACTCAAACCTACTGACACTTTCCTCTGAGCTCGTTACCTTGTAGTTTTCATTCCTCTCCTAGCTGCAAGTAGGAAGCTATCAAAGTAGCATCCCATTTTTTGAAAAAGATTCTTGTTATTTATTTTTGTAAGAAAAAGGGTCCGCTATCCTATCTCCTATCTAATATAGGCAATCAGTGATGGCATCTTCTGCTTATGCCTGCCCTTTTCCTCTTCCTTTGCTTCGTGTCTACCTGTCTATTATGAAGTAGGGAAATCAAAACCTGGGTACCCCTTGATTGTAGCCAATCAGTTAGGGGAAAACGATGGGAATTGAACCCGCGCATGGTGGATTCACAATCCACTGCAGGTGATTCGGTTGAAGCAGTCGATTTAGCAATTTATTCAGTAGTTCCAGTCGATGCTGATTTAGTTATTCATAACTCATTGATAGCAATGTGGAAGGACCAAAGATAGAGCTTATTGTTACGCCTGTTCGTGAGCCTACTAATGCTTCATTGAATCTATCCCAACCTTCTTTTTTATATAGGCATATATGTAAACACCCCATTTTTGACTACCCTTAAGACTTGGGCGCCACTGATTGATCACTCAATGATGAATATGTACGCTTGTCAAATACTTGATTTCCTCAGCAGAAAACCTCAGTTTTGCCCACGAACCTTATACCTTGTTTTGGACCAAAACAGTAGTTTTTCAAACCTAATTATCCAGGGATCTGCAGACCCACTAGTGTGGACTGCCATCCACTAGTGTGGCCTGCCGGCCACTTGTGCAAAATTTCAGATCTTTTTGCCAACTATGCTAATTGTCTCCATAGGTGCATGCACTGCACCAGCTGTGTTTGTATGGATATTTCTGAGATAGTATCATATATTTCTTTATATAGATGACTCCCTCTCATTTTTTTAGGGCTAGAAAAATAGGAAGTAAAAAAGTTTTGGAAATTATTTATCTCTCTACATTCCTCTCTCTCTCTCTCTCTTACAACTTACATAACCTTTGCTTAGACACTCTAGTTTGAGGGTTCCTTGCTGAGGTACTTAAGCTAGCATTTTAGCACTTGAGAGTATGAAATTGGTGGTTTGTAGTTCAAAGGGATCATTCCTCTTCAAGAGGTATTGTAGACACCCCATTTTTGACCGACCTTGAGACTCAGACATCACCAGTTGAGCGCTTGGTGATACTGCATATCATGCTCGTCTAGAAGTTTTAGAGTCTCGGCTGCGAGCCTTGCCTCCGGACTTCCGGACTCTTTTGTGCTTTGCCTTGGTTTGCGAACCAGGCTCGGTTTTCTCTGTTTCTTTTCCTGAGGGGAGGGAGAGGTCCCGTAGACCATCTCTCAGTGGCCGTGGGCTACATTTTGTGGCTGTAGGCCATTTTTTCCATTTCGGAGCCCGGTTCCCGGTTTTTCGAGACCGTTGGCCGTGTGCCTCGGTTCGGGACCGCCTAACCATCTCCGTTTGCTCTGATTTTTGGCATGCATCTTATTTACTCCCTTTCAAGGGACACTGGGGTCTGAGAAACCCACTTCGTGGCCGAACGCCACTTTCGGTGCTTAGCAGCCCATTTTCGGGACCCCGAACTGCGTGTTTTGGCCCCCGAGCATTCGTTTTGCATCGATTTTGGTTCATTTTTGGCAGGTACCTCTGTTTTATCACCAGGAAGGTCACTGGAGGGTGGGAGGCCAGCAATTATCTTGTCAACCAGTTATATTCCATTTTCTCCCTCCGGCACCCGTTTTTCTCACTTCTTAGCCAATGTTGAACACCTTAGGGCCACTTTCTTCAACCCCAAACCACATATTTGTGATGTACACACATGGGAGGACCCTAAAAGTTGGTGGCCGGCCACTAATTCCATTTGACCCTTTTGAACCCCTCCTTCCGGGCTAATGTTGAACAGCCTAGGCCCTTTTTCTTGAATTTTGAACCATAGGGTTGTGTTGTACACACATGGGAGGACCCTAAAAAGTGGTGGCCGGCCACTATTTCAACTTGACCCTTTTGACCCCTAGCCGGCCGGCTAGGGGAGGTGGTCGGCCGGCCACCTGGAGCTCCAAAAACCAGCCGGCCATGATCCTTACAACATCCACTTTACAGCTGTATAGCTGTTTCCCCCAGAAAATATCCCAATCCGGGGGATATTTTGTGGGGGAAAACTTGCCTAATTTTCCCCCACCTTTGCCCCTCCTCTACTCCCCCTTTTTTGTCCATATAATCAGCAGGCAACATAGAGTTAAGGGGTTAGAAAATTTGCTCTTCAAGCTTGAATACAAGAATCCCTCTTCATCTCTCTCATTTCCTTGAAAAACTTCCAAGTCCTACACCACCATTCCTTCTACACCACCACCCCCCGCCCTTCCATCCTCCATTCCAGAAGATTGAAGGTGTTCTCCAAGGCCTAAGGAGCCACAAAATCAAGCCAAGAGGCAACCAAAGTCAAGTCTTCAAGGGTAAGTTCACTTTCCCTCTTTTCTAGCTCATTTTTACAACATTTCTTAGCCTCTCTTTCTTGTATATTTGAGCTCCGACCAAAACTGAAAAGGTCATTTTTTTGAGCCCTTTTTCACTTTTTCTTAAGGGCTCAAACCTGTTTGAGCCCCCCATCTTGCACTTGCTTCAATATCCTCCTTGAATGCCGTTTTCTTGCATGCTTTGGCAGCCTATCATGCTTCTGTTTTTGGTCATTTTACAGTACTGAAAATAGTCTAGGCTTATTTTGAGCCCCTCTTCAACATTGAAGAAGGGCTCAACACTGTTTGGGACCTCCATGCTACACTTGCCTTTATATTCCCTCTTTGGTCCCCATTTTTGCATGTTTTGGTAGCCTATCATGCTTCGGTTTTTGGCCATTTTATAGTACTAAAAATAGTCTTATTTTGGCCCATTCTTCATGTTTCATTAAGGGCCTTTGGCTGTTTGATGAATATTTTGTAGACTTTGTGTTATAGCCACTTTTGAGCCTCATTTTGCATTGCATTTATAGCATGTTTTTATACTGTTTTGGGGTTTTTACAGTTCTGTAAATATGCATATTTTTGGTCCCTCTTCAATGTTGTAGAAGGGAATTTTTCAGTTTGGGCTGTGCATATACCACTTGCCTCTTTGGCCACCTTTTGGCCCATTTTCTTGCATAAGAGCTTAGCCATATCTATATCTGTTTATCACTAATAAATCTTCTCAACATCGAGTGAAATTTATTGAGACTTGGGAGCATATTTTCTCATCTTATATTCTTATCATACATTGTAGACACCCCATTTTTGACCGACCTTGAGACTCAGACGTCACCAATTGAGCACTTGGTGATATTGCATAATGTGCTCGTTCAGAAGTTTTCAGAGTCGCGGCCGTGAGCCCTGCCTCCGGACTTCCGAACCCTCTTTTGTGCTTTGCCTCGGTTTGCGAACCAGACTCG